GTAATAACCTTATTATTATACATCTTTTCCTTCCAAGGATACATCATGGGAATGCCGAAATCCAAAAAGTTTAGAACAGAATCAGCGAACTTCTTTGTATGGAGTCCGGTCAAATCCTGGTGGCAGCCATGTTTGTTTTTATTATTAGAAGACGCTTACGCGCGTAATCGTTCCATATTTGGAATTCGCATTTCCTAATATAGTAGTACGAAAATACCCGGTAAAATACCGCAAAATTGCGGCACGCTGTAACTTATGGCGTTACGGTGACAGATGTATAATAATTATATATAGTACACGTCTTACTGCGATCAAAACATGTTTCCTATGTCTAAATGTGTACGCATATTATACATACATAGATACATACATACATATACATATAGAACAGCTGATAGCCTCGGCTACGATTGTGAATTTTTACTTCCAGGTCTACAACATTAAGATGTTATCTCATGCCAGCCACTTATCTCCATTAAAATGCCTATTTTGTAATCTGTTTGCCTCTGGGAATTCAATCAGCAATACTAATCTTACATTCACTTCTTAATCTCCCGTTTAATCCCGTTTTTTTCTGCCAAAAAGAATTAACTATTCACTATAATAAAGTGTAATCTTAAGAACAGAAATAAATAAATTCAGACAGGATTATAACAGTTCACAACAAATAATTTCAATACTAAATACCGTGAGTTAATAAAATATGTGAATAACGACTGGTATTCATTATACACCACACATTTAGGGACAACTTTTAATTGATATATTAATTACCCATGTCCAGTAATTGAATGTATATATTAGAAACGTTGATATGTGTTTAGCCGTAAACATCCACTAGAAAGAAATAAAACTTCTTTGATTGAGGCTTTACGGTATTATGTGTTGTATATACGTTATTTTGGAAGCAGGCCCGTTGCCCCCGGGCATTTGCCTCCTGGCAATTTACCCCCGGCCCGTTGCCCTCGGCCTGTTGCCTTATATGCACATAAATTGAATTTGAATTTGAAGTATCAACTACGTATATGTACGTATTAGTCATTGCAAGTATGCCAATAAAATTCAATAAAGTGTAATAACCAGCCATGCAGCAGATTG